CTTAGTTTATGTAGCTAAGTATTTGCGCTCTCTAATTTAGCATTGGTTGTCTTGTTATTGAGCATTGCTAGTGAGCTTAGCAGTTTTGTGCTTTTGCTTACTAGAATTGTGTAGGAGCTCCCCGGTGTGCAAAATACTAGTGGTATAGGTTTGTGTGACCTTCCTCCTATAATTGGATAGGTGAACTCTAGCTAGCTCGGCACTTTTGTTGCCTAATTAGGATCTTTATAAGGTGCTTGTGAACTTCGATAGAGGGATGTAGTCTTGACTAGACCGATTGTTTTAATTTCGTATTTGTTTTGGTTATTCAGCACGATTTAATTTAGAAATGACTATTTACCCCTCTAGTCTGCCATCTCGACCCTATAGTATGGAGGCCAGTCCCGACGTGGGGATTGGGAGTGGTGGCACAGGCAAGAGAGATACGGACGGAGGTGAGAGAGACGGGAGAGAAAGAATAAAAAAGGTAGAGAAACAATATAAAAGATAGCCAATGATAAGTGGACCCCTAATTCAAAAATAAGAAGTTGTTTTGTCAAATATTTCTTTAACAAAGTGAAGCTAGAGCTAAATAAAACTACTGTCACTGAGAGCAGGGTCGGTCCTGAAGTTTTAGGGGCCCAGAGCGAAACCAAAATTTGGGGCCCTTATACACATGAACCACGGAACTCTTTTGAGGTATTCGAGAAAAAAACACATGAACGACGCCGAAGCCATCGTGACGCACGACCTCAGCAAGAAGATGTAAGAAGATGTTGGGATGGAAGTGCATGTTGCAAGCGTATGTTTCAAGTGTTTTAGACGTTTCAGAGGTATGTTGCAATTGTTTCATATTGATGTTGCATAAGTAGATCGGGGATATTGCACATATTGCAAGTGTTTTAGAGCCATGTTGCAAGTGTTTCAGAGGTGTTGTTGAAAATGTTTCATTTGTTATAGACGTATATTGCAAGCGATCTGATCTGGATGTTGGCACATGTTCCACACATATGTTGCAAGAATATGTTCTAGTACATGTTTCCATATTCGCAAGTTGCAAGTGTTTTATCTGATGGTGCATATGTTTCACATATATGTTGTAAGTGTATGTTTTAAATGTTTCATCCGTTTTATACGGATGTTGCACGTGTTTCATGTTGCATGTGTTTCATACTGTTTGGAGAGTTAAGGGGCACGGGGAGTGATGGTGGCACGGCATGGGCACCGGGGAATAGGCCGCGGCGAGCTGGAGGCCGGCGGTCAGGGCGCGACGGGGGCGGGGTGCGCGTGCAGGACGAGGCGAGCGACTTCGAATCCAGGTGGACAGGGTGTGCCGCGGGGGCGAAGCGAGTCGTCTGGACGCGTGGACGCTACGACGGGGCAGGTGCGTGTGTGGGGCAGGAATAAAAATCAGCACACGGGGATAGGCTGCGCGGACGTCCTGTCCGGATGTCGGGGTGCTAGCATAGCCCATTGGGGGTGGTTTGAGAGACTTCGGATATTAGTGCATAACTGCATACCTAGTTCATACGAAGCTATGTCGCCTCGTTGGAGTCTCACTCTGAGTTGGCTACCCGCCGCGGCGCCGCAGTTGAGTTGGGTGATCGCGTCGCAGTTGCTACGTTGTGTTCGGGATTTGCCGATTTTTTAGCAACACGTCGAGTCTATTTGTTCATGCACACAAGATTTAGCGGGGTCGCGAACCATGAGAAGTCGTAGTCGCAGATTCGACAAACAAATCGCGAACGACAATCTCCTACTCTTCCCTGCTAGGCTGCCGTGGGCCTTAACGAGCCAACCAAGCCATATACTGGTAGAGCTACGTACTGAGTGTATATCTGGGGTAGGGCCCTGTGAGATTAGGGGCCAGGGCCGCCGCCCCGCTTGGCCGCCCTCAGGGCCGGCCGTGACTGAGAGCTGTACCAAACGGATCTATGATTTATGCAGTGTGAAACACTTTGGATTTATAGCACATATAATATGGTCCACGGGAACATGAGTTCCGTTCCTCATGGTATCCAAATTTCAGTACGTGATCGTGCCGACAGGACACACGCTAGTAGTACCATGCGATTACAAGTAGTCAGGGATGAAAACAAATCGGATATGGACTGATATCATTGATATTATATTTGTTTTTATATTTTTGTTCGGATTTAGATTTGAATACGGATAGTGTCAATCATACCGGATAGGATATGATTGATATCGACGTCATAAATATGCGATTTGAATATTCGAATACGAATACGGTATCGAATATTGAAAATTTGGACTCGAATACAAATAGATCTAAACCCCTCTAAACAAATTTGATCTCGAATACGGTCGGAAAATATCCATAATATTTTCATCCATGCAAGTACTGCATGCGTTGCAGTACCAGCCTAGCTTACCAGGTGAAGTGGATGTGGCTTGGCTGTCATACTCATACCGGACCAGATTCGATGCAATTGAGATGGTTACTCATACTTCCAGTTCCAGTCTTCCAGACACCATGCTAATCACGTGTTACGGATTGTTTTCGAGGTTGTGAGTACAACCACCTGGATTAGCAGCAGTACGTGCCGTGCCCCTGCCTGGAAAATTCCCGGCCAATAACAAAGTGCCGCCAGATAATTGCGCACAAACGGATGGTGTGCCGGCGCTAATAACAGACCCCTGGCGGTTCAGTTGACACTTGACAGGAGAGGGAGAGGGTCTGCCGGCGCACCCCATGTGTGGTGCCGGAGAATCGGGTTGCACGCCCTCAAACTCAAACGCCCCCACCCCAGCCAGCCAGCCCGCCGTGTCGCCAAGGGTTGGAGGTGGGCCTCTGCCCTCTGCTCTGCCTCCTCGAAGGCTCCCCGAGCCTCCGACTCAAAAGGAGGGCGTCAGAAGGAAACAAACTCACAACTTTTTTCTACAGCACCCTAAGAGCAGCTACGATAATGGCTTAAAGCCAAGCCGATGCTGACGTGGAGGAGAGATAAGAGCTTAGCTTCCATGCAAGCGTCAAGTTGGACATGAAAGCATAGACACTAGTGGACCTAAGTAGCAAGTGTTGTGAGGAGGAATATGAGAGAGACTTTTTTTAAGACAAATATTTAACACTTATTGTATAACTTGGCTCTTGTAACTTGACTTATAGCCAAGCAACTTGGCTCTATTATTGACCTTGTTCTAATAGGCGCCATTTCATACACGGAATCATAATCATAAGTAAGTACCCCACCTTCGTCCCCCCGAGAGAAATGTCGCACAATGAATTCGTGCTGATCAAACTTTCTTACATTTGACTAGATTTATAAAAATATTAGTAATATTTGTATCTCTAAATAAATTTATTATGAAAATACATTTAAGATTCATCTAATCTAATGATACTAATTATGTATCATAAATATTAATATTTTCTTATATATATTTAGTCAAAGTTATAAATATTTGACTCATCGAGAAGTGAGAATGATAATGTTCATAGGACGGAGGGAGTACTTTTGGATACGAATCTGATGACATTAATTTCTATCAAAAAAATCATGCAGTGTTAAATAAATTTTGATCAGAGAAGCATACTAATTCTAGATAGCGGGAATAACAAGAAGCTATTGCAAATCTGTAAGTTCGTGCTTAGAGCATTTCCAAGAGTTAATCTTAAACTCATCCTCTAAATCCTCGTTTTAAGAGTCATTCTAATAGAATTTGTTCTCTATATTTCTCCACCATACAAAAACTTCTCTTTTTATCTTGTTTAGCACTTTGAAGTGCCAGCTCCGTCCTCTATCTTTAGCGAGCAGAGCATTTAAGATTTATTTGAAGAAGTTGTTGCAAGAGATTCTTCCCCCCCCAAAAAAAATCTTTGTTCTTATCAATACATAGATAGATAAATATATAAAGAACCTCTTGCAAACGAAAAATGGATTTGATGGACAGGATATTATGCCGCTTAATTCAACACACTCAGGTAGTACTAGCGCATCATATAGAAAGAATCACTAGCACGAACCGTGAGCCGGATGGGAAAAATAAATTCGACTTTGCGGATCAGACAACCGCTGGTTTTGCAAATCCGTTAGCAGAAACGAAAATTGGTTTTGATGGACAGGATATTAAGCCTCTTAATTCAACACACTCAGGTAGTACTAACGCATCATATAGAAAGAATCACTAGTACTTTAGAACCGTGAGCCGGATGGGAAAAACGTTTCGCAAATCCCTCACGCCATCGATGGCCCTCCCCTGCTCCCCCACCGCAGCCCCGGGGGACAACTGGACAAGGGATTCCTCGATGTCCCAGAAAGAAACGGTCCCGGGTCCCCAACCAGTCAGTGCAGCTTTTGTACTGGAACTGGAAGCTGAAGCACAATTGCACAAAAGGATCAAACATGCCCAGTCAAACGGACACACATGACAAAACACCCCATCTGGCCTGCTGCTTCAAGCTGGCCATATATAACTTACTAGCTTCCCAGTTCCTCCATTGGGTACAACATTTTCTCACACAACGTACAACAAATTCCTCACAACAAACATGAAAGCCTAGAAAAAGACTGGAGCCGGGCAGCCATTGGAGGAAGGCAGAAGTTCTATCACAGCACAGGGCGGTGGCGGCGACGATGAGCAAGGGAGTACTGATGATGTTGCTGGTGGCCGCAGTGATCCTCCTGTGCCTGCCATTGGTGCTGCCACCGCTTTCGCCACCACCGCTGTTCCTTCTCTTCGTCCCTGTGGTGCTGCTGCTGCTGCTCTTCTCCTTGGTTCTCTTCCCGTCTCACCACTGTGCATGCTCTTCTCCGACCTTCCTTCAGTAACAACAATGTCTGACGGCCAGGTACTTATTCCTCCTCTCAATCTTTATTCCCAAATATATCCATATGCTATTTTCTCACCTTCATTGGTGGGTGTATATATATGATATGTGTCATACAACATACAACAGTCAGGTGGCCCTCAGGAGAACTTCTGTTCTACCTTTCAAGCCCAGATGACGCGCCATCTTGGAGTTAAGGGTGACAAACCAATGAAGAAATGAATGCTAACTAGTCATTTTTGTTGTGGAAAGAACTTCCATAATGTTGTGCCTGTGGTAGGCTGTATAGTAGTAAGCCGGCGGTGAGTACCGCTGCACCCACAACAAATCCAGGTGGCAGAGATGATGCCACACCGATATACGGCAGTGGTAGGGTGAAAGCGTAGATGGACAGCGGAACTGCACAAGAAAACCATCATTCCTGATCAGTTCATATATCATGCTACAACATCTTACTTGAGTGTCTTCTCTGCACGTGGTAGCAGCAACAAGCATAGTTTATAAAAGGAATGTTGGTTTTCTGCTCTAGGCCAGCTGGTGAACTGTCAAAAGCTCAAAAGTTTTTCACTTTGTTCTTAGGTGATATAATTCAAAGACTGCTCTGTACGTGGTAGCAGAAAAACCATAATTATAAAATGAATGTTGGTTCTGCTCTAGGCCAGCTTCTGAACTGTCAAAGGCTCAAAAGTTCAACTGACTGCTGGCAGCATGGACAGGAAGCACCCAACAATGAAGGCGGCTAAACTACTTGCTAGTGTACGATTGATAGGAATAAAAAACAGTTTTTTTCACTTTGTTACTAGATGATATAATTCAATGAATGTTGTCATCATGAACAGAAAATACCCAACAATGAAGAAGACTGTAAACTATTTGATAGAATCCGATTGACAGGAATAAGCAGGTCCATGATTTGTTGGCAAGGTTAGTCTGTATGGTAGTCTCTGCTAAACAAGCACAAAAATAAAGTTAATACATGCATAATTTCAGCATGCCTCTTGTACTCCTGAAGCTGCTTGTGAGCCTCCTATATATACTTCTATGTTCTCTGTAACTCGTCCATTTGAAGTCTCACTGATTCACTATCAGCCATATCATTGTCCTTTCTGGTTGTAGTTGAGTGTACCAGAATAATCTACTAAGTTGCAGCTAAGGTACTTATTCATCTTATTCAAAAACATGATGCTTCGATCATAGTATCATACCCTGATAGGTGTTGCGTTAAGATAATAATTATATTCCATCTCGCTATCTATAGAACTGTATAAGATTTATGTATACCAATTACCCACCATTCCTTGCAAGAACACATAAGCACTGCACCCAGTTTTTCTTCTCCCACAAAAGGAAGGCTGACCATAATGTTTAGCTAAACAAAGCAATGATTTGTCAATTGGGACTTTCCAAATATCGGCTTCTGTATGGTTGAAATAAAGGTTTCACAATACAAAGGCTAGACGATATTCAATAAACTGTGTAAAACAGTTTTAAATCAGTTCAACTATGGTGGATACATTAATGCTGTTGTAATCGGTGTTTCAAAATGAACCCATCCCGCATATCAATGAAACATGCAGTGGTACTTTAGTGAAGTGTTTTTGCCAGTGGTACGACAGAAATTCCTTTGTCAAAACGTTCAGATGTGCACTTTACCATAAAGTTGAGACATTGTGAAGTTAAAATGAAACCGAAACACAAAACTTGAAAAGTTTGATGTGCTAGCCGCTGGTGTAAGTAAATGGGATGGTGCACTGAAGACAGTATGAAAACCTGAGAATGTAGAAGCCAAGGAAGATATGACTGCCGAGGAGATCTTTAGTAGGTGTAGTAATGATATATTGTATCCCATGTTAACCAACACAAATAGTAGTGGTAGTAGTGGTGCCCCTTCACAACCTGCACAGTTCAGAAGTTTAACAATAAGTAAGATGCTTGCTCAGCATGCTTATATGATTCCTTTTTATATAAAAAAATACCAATTATATGCTAATGTGGAAATTCAAAATGAATCAGAATTGCGAAGGATAACATGGTAGTAAAGAAACATCTTACTGAACATTGCTACTGTGAATACATTCTTTAAGACATATTGTAACTACAACTATGAATTCTCACCTACTTAAAAAGTTCAACTCAAACAAGCAGGTGGGATTAGTTATTAAGCACTAACAGAATGGTGGAAACTTCAGGAACTGAACGTAAATGGTAATAAATCATTAGTGATTAATTCAATTTTAAGAAATATCATGATCTGCATTTACCTTACAAAGACAAAGATTTTTAAAAAGGACTAGAAAAAATAGCAATACCAGATATTGATCCCATATTTAAGAAGCAGGCTGCACCATCTTTAATGTACGTTGGTAACATATGGAATGGAACTCCCCATAACTTTGACAGGAAAGGCAGCAAGAGACACATAAAAAGAGCCTGAAATGGTAATTTGCTAATTATTATGGATGGATATATACTGCATCCAAAGTATTAGACAATAGGATCGTATTCTTACTTGATAAGCAGAGCCATATGAATTGACAACAAAAAGATCAACTGAGCCGCACTAGAAACAAAAGAAGAGTATTGAATTAAGAAAAGGATCCGACAGAGATGAATGGCTATGAAGATTTGACTAATGAAAGCTCTACATATAAAAAAAGGGGCAGACCCAGTGCCGGAGGCTCCCACATGAGTGGAGTCTGGGAAAGGGAAAAACCGAGGCAAGCCTCCCCCTGCAAAATCTTGACTCAGTGAGACAGCTCTCACCACTGCACCAGGTCTGCCCTTCAATGAAAGCTCTACATATCATGGTAAATAATGGAAGGAAGTAATTACCTTCAATTTCTTAGAAGCATCTATAAATATTATTTCCTGCAACAACAAAACTTTAGTTGGATCAGGTGAAACTGGCAGCTAAAGCGCTGTGGTTAGGTAACTGATTATTAAAATAGACTTGCTACCTTCAACACTGTATCAGCAGCTTGGAGAAAGAACGATATTATCATTAGCAGCGGCCATAAGATTCCAGTACTTTTAAATGAAGCACTAGTACCAGATCCACTGCACATGCCAAAGTAAGATTCATGTTAAATCCTATTCACGTCAAGGCAAGAGATATCTGAATCAAAAGGAAGACTTCTGGTTTGATATTTGACAATATAACTTGACACAGCTTGCTCATGCTGCTGCGACACAGTTCCTTAATTCCAAACGCTATTCTCTCACTACGGCAGTGACAAGCAAATTAAGGTTTCCAAAATGATCCTTCGCTGAAACACTGTAAGCCATAACACAATTCCTTAACCCCAAATGCTATAGTTTCTAACCCTAAAAAATGCAAAGAACAACAAAGAAGTGTTGCATATGTCAAAGATGATACTTTGCTGAAACATAGTATCAAATCCTCCATGCGAAGGAGATATGTGTGAAAGATTCTTTTTATAGCATGTGTGATTTCCATAATTTGCATATAGATGTTTTATTTTTCCAGCAGCAGAAATGTAGAAATTAATGAAGTATTTTGTACTGTAACACACATGCCACCAGATGGGGGCACATGAACACCCACTGTATGGTTTGTGAGACATTGACGATTTCTGGAGCATAAAAGCAATACTGTAAACATTCCCAACTAATGATACAAATCTATTTACTCAAGTTCTTATCTTCTGGATTTAACAGAAGGTTTGTTCAAGCGCCCTTTAAGATGGCATCATCAGAAAGAAGAACACAACTTCATGGAATATAGCTGTGAAAATACACTCAGCAGCTTCACTGGATGCTTAGAGACCCACATGAGCCCATCAAGAGATTACTTACCTTGCTACAGTTATTATGACACCAATGGCCACTAGAAAGCATCCTGCTATCTCATTAATTCTATAGCGCCTCTTCAAGAAAATAGCAGATAGAATAAGCTGCCAGACAAGATAGGTCTGCAAAAAAGTAATAAAGAAATTAAGGCATGTGATTAGATCTGATTAAACAAAGATTGTAATATAACACTGATAGTGCTCATAACCTGTGACAGTATTGGTATTGAAGCCCCAGAAAGAACAGCTACTCCAACAAAAACAAAACAAATCAAACTGTGAGGACAAGCTTCATATAGTTCATGTCAAGTAAACTTACTTTCATGAACAAACTACCTAACCAAACTCAAAAACATCAGTACAGAAGTACAAGCGAAGGTGTGGAACTGTGAACCTAAAGTTGACTTCGACAATTTTCCTAGCTAATTATGCACATGAGTGGCATACGTTATTAGAAAAACTCTAGCAGCATCGAGTTAATTGTGACAAACGGGTAGACGGATGTTGCCTCAGTCATTACTTGGCCACAAAAAAATAAGTTGAATCCGGCTTGAGAAAATTACCTCCAGCTGCCATCCCTGCTGCTGCTCCAAAAGCCTCTAAGAGTCCTACAGCTAGAAAAGGTTTCTGTGGTAGAGACAGCATCTCATCGGTGACAATGCCCGCTTGATATCGAAGATACAGGAGTGAGAAATAGACGATTACATATCTGCCAAAATTAGAAGATTCAGAGCATGTTATCAGAAACCACTAAATAGTTCAAACAGAGTTTCACAGAAAAGATCATTTCAACTAATTTGTATGCATGATGTTGAACTACAACAGGATCGGAAAGCAAGTCGATAATTGCTCTGATGTCTTTTTCTTTGATATCATAGTGCCTTGGTTCCAATAGAATCTAATTGTAGAGTAACAGCCTCAAAACCATTAAGGAAGTACTGGTATTTACTCAACAAAGGCCAGCGATGCAGTTTAGCTATGCAGACAATGTTATGCATGTTAAATACCGTAAGGGATTAGTGAAGAAATAGGATTATTGCAGCACGATTGATATTGTATATTGTGGCTAATTAAAAAAAATGCCATGTTGATGCAGGCTATATATATTATACCAGTCATACGAGAAAACTGTAATGTGAGAAATGTCAAATGGCATTGCAGAAGTGAGGTGTGTTACTGCTACACTTGACAAACAAAAGCATATACCCAGATTTCAGGGAATCATGAATTGTAATAGAAGCAATTACCCATTTTATATTTACTATGAGCTGTGCTACCTTACTGATGCATGCTGGAGCAGTGGTGCTCACTGGCTCACTAGTCACTGATGCATAAGCATAACAACAAATCAATCGCCCTGTTCGCTCGAACTTATCAGCCGTACCGTTTCAGTGAAATAACAGTGTTTTTTTCTCACAACAAATCAGCATCAGCATCAGCCGTTTTTCCAGCGTAATAGTTTCTGCTGCTATTTATGTACCGTATTCATATTTATACCCCGTTTGACATGATAAGAGGCCAGCTCATGAGCTCTATCTGGCACCAGGGGAAAAAACACGGCAGCGCAGTCGCAGGACGGCATCCAGATTTAGCAACAACCAAAAAATCTCGCCCAGTTATTTTATTCCACGAGACACGGGGGGCCGCAACCGGAAATGATTCACCATCCACGACAGCGAACGGCTTGACGGAGACGACGAATCTCTACTGTTCAAGCTTCCAAGTCCAAGCGACACTGCTCGATCCGATCGGGCACAGCAGCAGCAGCAGCGCGTGCGCCATCTACTACGACGACGACCGATCAATGCGGGCGCAGCAAACGAAGCGAGGAGAGAGAGAGAGAGAGAGAGAGAGAGAGAAGGCGCACGGACGCACCCGAACGTGGCGAACTGCGCCAGGAAGAAGGGGTACTGCCGGAGCGGCACGAGCGCGAGCTTGTAGAGGACGCGGTTCCCCGTGCCCATGGCGACGACCGCGGCGGCGGCGATGGCCACCTCCATCCCGGCGCTCCTCCCGACGCCCGCGCTGCTCCTCCCCGCGACCTGCCCCGCCGCGCCCCCCCTGCCCCTTCCCAGGCTCGTCCACGCGCGCGCGGACGCCCACGGGTCCGCCGCGATCCACCGCTCGTGCGGCCGCGCCGTCGCCAGCACCAGCGCCTCCCTCCTCCGCAGCGGCAGCGCCAGGCCCAGCGCCGCTCCGTCGGCAGAGCGCGGCGCGGGGGCGCGGAGCAGCAGCGGGCGGTGCCGCGCCGCCGCCGCGGAGGGGCGGCACGTAACGGGGGACGGCGCCATCGCGGGGGTGGGTGGGAGGAGCCGGGACGGGACCGCCTGCCTGCGCGGCGGAGTGGCGCAATCGCAGCTAGTTTTTCGTATATGCGCTGGTGGCGGGCTGGCGGCGGAACTGTGGAAGGAATGGAATGGCGAGGGGAGGGAGGAGGAAGGAAGATTCCCGGGCGGAGGCGGAGGCGGAGGCGGGTCGTGCTGTTCTGCTTCGCCTCTGCTGCTGCTTTGCGTCGCGTCCCGTACTGTCCCGTTCTAGTGCTCGTTTACTTTTGGTTTTGGTGGGTGGGTGGAGGGGGCGGCGCGGCCTGGAGGGGAAAAAGTTTCTCTCTTCTGTTTCAATTTTGGCAGTTTCGATTAAGGTCAGTTTGGCCGCACGGTTTTTTTTTTTCTCTCCTGCCGATGTACTGTAAAGAAGTAAACAAACAGTAGCAATGTAGAGTACTTCCACATAACACTCGCATAGTAGTTTTAAAACGTGTTTTGTGTCATGCCTACACACCGTCGATTACCAGTGGTCTCATGGATAGGATTAATGATATTAGATCATGTTTGAATCTATTAGCTGCTAATATACCTCAAAGTTGTATTAGCTAACTATTTAACTAACTATTAGCTGGATTGTTCCAACTAGTAAACTATTGTTAGTTGGGTATTACCTAACAATTAGCTAGACTATTAACTGGATCCATTTGAATCCAAAAAGGTAATTATTAGCAGTGAGCTATTAGCGCCATAGATCCAAACATGACATTAAACCAAACACATCCTACGTACATCAACAGGGTATCAAGGATTCCATGCAGAGGCAGCGTGGTGTTGGGGCATGCAAATGCAACGATATCTATGATACTAATGTGCGGCGATACAGCTGCTAATGCATCATGCCACACAAGCAGCACGGGTAATCACTATAGACACCCTAATATATATTTATGATGTTCTGAATTGTTATAGTGTTTAGTTGTATCTATAGTCACCAATGGCGCATTCAAACACATAGATATGAATTTTTTTTTTACGACTAGGACCCTTTAGCATCATAGAGGAGGCCATTATCTAGTCCCGCTCTAAAGTGATGAAATTCTGCATAAGTATAGTGCAGGGCTCGTTTGGTTTACGTCCTAGGGGCTTCCACTCCTCCATTTGGATACCACGTAGTAATACTATATGTTTTGATGAAACAGGTAAAAAAAATAGCTCCTCCAACACAAAATAACTAACCATTGGAGATTCGAGCCCACGATTTTGGAGCTTCGCCCGCTCTGCTATCCACCGCTTTAGTTACCAAGAGGGGCACCTCCAAACACATCCTTAGCTTGGTAGGAACCAAAGTTGGCCTTCTTTAGTTTTTCAGCGGGGCGCAAGGTCGCGTGAAACCTGTAAATGGTATCCTGTGCAGCGTTGACTTTTTTTAGTCCACTCGAAGTTCGGCACCGCCACTCCCACACTTGGTAGTAGTAGGGTCGAAATAGCAATTTTCGAACAGGGACACAGCACCTTTAGGCCTTTGCGCAATTATTATTGGCTCACGCTCCATTTCCTTCCTGGTCACTGGTCCAGTCATAGAAAAAGGTACCACTCCAGGTATCTAGTAGCAGTAGGTACAAATGCCTTTTTTTTCATGTGATACACCGGGTGCATGGAAGGGAATGAGTTGAGTTCCATTTGTTTCATAGAAATGGGTGGTCGTCTCGTCGTCTCAAGCGTTGGCGTACCAAGCCCCGGTGGCGAGCACGTTGCAGAGATTTGCCCTGTCTTTTGGTGCAGCAGCAGACGACGGCCAAGCCAGAACATCCAGGGGGGCGGAGGGGACGCCGGGAGGCGCAGGACCGCTCATCTTTTGGTCGACAGCGAGAGGGCACGAGGCGGCACCGGGTCCGACGGGCGGCACGGGCGGCACACGCACATGCACATGCACACGCTCGCGACATCTGGTGGGCTCTCTTCCGTTCCGTGTCCTTGTTCCGCCGGGCCCAGGACAGCGCCAGCAGAATAGCAAAAACCAAAAAGAGACACACTGCTACTAGTAACATAATAACAGGTTGCAAAAGCATTTACGCCGTGTTTAGTTAAAAAATTGGAATTTGGGGATACTATAGCACGTTCGTTTTTATTTAGTAAATTAGTGTTTAAACATAGACTAATTAGGCTCAAAACGTTCGTCTCGTAATTTCCCACCAAACTGTGCAATTAGTTTTTTTTCGTTCACATTTAATGCTCCATGCACAGATCGCAAATATTCGATGTGACAGGTACTGCAGCACTTTTTTAAATTTTGAGTTGTAACTGAACACGCGCTTATTACGATGTCACCAAAAATTTTACTGTTGGGACAAGAGAGTTATCGAGGAGCGAAGGAAGAAAACGTAGAATCCGAGTCTATCTTAGAAACGACGTCTTCACGTCTACCAAGGTCGCGAGAACGATCCCGCATGCGCTACCGCTTCCTACCTTGCGCGCGCTGCCTCGAATCCCTGGCAGCCCCGCGCGCGCGCGCTTGCAGGCCGCCCAGCTCGTGTGCGGCCGCGCGCCGGGCAGGGGCTCGTCGGCTGCAGCGTACAGGAGGAGGAGAAGCTGCTCTCCTCTACGTGTAGATGCCCAACAGTAGCGCATCATTCACCGAGACTACCAAGTAGCAACATCCTGGACAAGGACCTCAACCACAAGATCTCGGACTTCGGCATGGCTGACCTAAACCGCGCCGCCGCCTACGAACCTTGCGTGGCCGTCGCCTAGCTTTGCCGGCCCTGCGGACCTCGCGCGGCCTGGCCACGCGCCTGCTGCCCGGACCTTGCGGGTGCCGTCGCCCTGCGCCGCCGCCCACTGGATCCCGCGTGGCTGTCGTCTTGCGCCGCCGCCCGCGCCGTCGATTGCAGGCTTTGCAGCAGCCGCACGCCGTCGTCCAGCCCTGCTGCCCCACGCCTGGCCACACGAATTGCGCATCCACACAGGATGCAGGCTTTGCAGCAGACGCAGGCCGTCGTCCAGGAAGACTAGCCACAATGTGCCCTCTCTCTTCCACCTCGTACAGATGCCAAGCCTGCGTGGCCACACGAATTGCGCATCCACACAGGATGATGAGGAGAGAGGAGCAACCGGGAGAATAGGAGAGAGGAGAGCTGAATGATGGGGTCTAAAAAATACTGCCTTCCTTGGAAGGTTGAATTTTTATCCGTGGTGCCCCGATGCTTTTTTTGACAGGCACCGACCATTTCTGCCCTAAATACTCTCTCCTTCCTTGGCATTGGCAAAAGCCCACATTGCCTCCTAATCTTTGTTTTTAGAAAAAGAAGAAAAAAAACAACTCCTAATAAGAACGCGAAGCGTGGATCGGCGCGGTGCTATGATCGTTCACCTCCCAAGCATCTTCACGTCGCGGAAAGAGAGGCACGTCTTTGGTGTTCGTCCGTCGAGGTACGCATGTCGCGTCGGACGTCTTGGTGTTCTCCGTGGAGCGAGTTTAGACTTGATGATCGCTTCGGGCGTAGAGGTAGTCGATGAGCTCCCGCTCGAAAACACCGGTACAGCCCCTCGTCGTACATCCGCCGCCTGATGACCGGGTTCACGAGGTGAGCCTCCGCGTGGTCGCCCAACCGTGACGAGCCAGCCGTGTGAGGCGCCCAGACCCGTAAGGCCTCTTCGGCGATGGGCGCCGTGGGGTGGCGGCATGGAGTAGGATTATATGTGGGACTCAAATTTAATTTTTGGAAGTCATTTTATTGGAAAATGTTGGAAATGCCTTTCTTTTTTCCTCCCAATACCTTTTTAAAAGTTTGGAAACTACATGTTTTTAGGAGGAAAAAATAAGAAACTCTTGGAGATGAAGGTACAATTTCTAAGCTGGGTGTCTTATGATACATAGGTAATTTCTGTATTGAGAGTGCCCTAAATGTTGAGGTGAAGAAGAGAGGAGAGAAGAAAGAGGAGAGGCTGGATATAAGGGTACATATGGCTTAGGCACGAGAATCAAGAAACTATGTGACCATATATTAATAGTGAAGAGGTAACTTTATATGAGTAGGCTGAGAGAAGACCGTGAACAAACCATAGAGCCAGTGGCCAACGCCCGGGACGGGTCGGGCCGGCGGCGAGTGGAGGCCGGTGCCGGGCGGGAGCGGTTCACGCAGGTCACGGTCGGGCTGCAGCAGAGGGCAACCGCACGCGCACCCGCGCCGCCGCGACGTGTTTGTCTTGTGAGGCGTGCCCAGCCGTTTCTGGTGGAGCTCCTCGACTGCGCACGGCTCTATCCGCATTCCACTCCATCCTCGCGGTCGCGGGCCCCGGACCCGGACCGAGTGCATGCTCTCGATCCTGCTACCTACCTGCGCGTATCCGGAATTTGTCCTGCCTCATCCGTGCCACTCTTGCTTCCTCCGATTCCTTCCTTCCTTCCTTCTTTCCTTCCTAGCAATTCATTCATTTTTCTATGGAGGGGAAAACAAACACAAAGACAGCGATGGCTGGTTGATTGATGGCGATTAATTTTATTATTACACATGAAGGAACTGCTATGTTTCAGGGTCTGGTTCTGTGTTTGTTTCAGCTACACATGTGCATATCTCATATACCTCTCTTTCCAATTATTGATCAGTCCACCTCATACATATCTTTCCAATTATTGATCTCTCCACAGCCATGCCAATTGACATGCTCATGTGTCTTCTGACGAGTATTTGGCTCATCCATCTATGTCTATGCACTCAGTGCTGCCAACCAACCAACCAACCGATGCACAGAGAGAGACGGACCCTCTTTCACAGACAGACACAGGCCGCTCACAGCCTCTTGGACTTGATGAGGTAGGCGACGGAGCCGGAGGTGGCGAGGGGCACGACGACGTCGTCCGACAGCCAGCCCAGCCCCGGCAGGATCCTCTTGGCCAGCAGCGCGCACGCCGGGGCGCCGAACAGCAGCATGCCCAGCTCCACGCTCGCCTTGCCCACCCTGAAGCTGCCGGCCTTCACCACCTCCCTGCTCATCGCCTCGAACTCCTCCTTCGTCACCTTCCCATCCGACCTGTGGTGCTTCTGCATTTACGTATAGATTCAGCACGCCAGTCACGGCAGATGGGGAAAAAATGAAAACTAAAAAAAGATGAACATGCATGGTTTCATTCAGCTCACGTTATACGCATCCTCGAGGGTTTTCTTCTCTGCTATCCTGTACTGCAGCTGCCCACGTTCCTCGCAGAACATTCTGCAGAAATGCATGTTCAGGGCCAATGCGTACGATTAAAACGAACAAGAATTATGTGGGGTTGCAGTTGAGAACGAATGAGTGCAGCTGGTTTCTTCCATGGTGCACACTTACTCGATGAGCTCGAAAATGGCGTGGTAGAACTCATCGAAGGATTCCACGCGGCCAACGACGTCGTCATAGTGATCTTCCATGAACGCAATAAGCTTCTCCGCGTCGCTAGGCGGCTTTGGGCTGTTTGAGACTTCAGCTGGTGCCTCACCCTTTTCAGCGACCTCTTGGGAGATCGCACTCGCATCTCCAACTATCAAATCAACGAAAGAAAGCTCATCACCATCATTATTCATAACAGAATATACCACAGTTCTCGATCGATCGAAATGCAGAGGTCACATGACGCAGAAATTCTCTTTACCACGTCAGCTTATATATATTTCAAGAAAAAAAGAGTATGACAATGGATCAAACATGCTGGTAATTTGCAAATAAAAAAAAAACTAGCACGGTTGCACACATGAGTCGTTGCAAGGTACAGCACTAAGCAAGATCGCAAGAATGAACATGATCAAAATGCATGGTAGTTCAGCGTAGGTACCTTGTTGCTTAGCCTCAATGTTTTCTTGTTCCATCCCTGATGAAACGAAGGAAGCTACCTGGTCTACTACATGTGAATTGTGATCATATTCATACGACATAGGTTACGTCTATATATACGTCAGGATCGATTCCAGCCTTGTTCTTTGAGTAGGACATGGACAATGGCATTGCCTATAGAGTAAGCAAGACCAGAAGGCAGCCAAAAGCCTACAAGAATACGAATCTGCTAACCTCTGCGAGAACCTACATAGAGTATGTGATAACTCCACTGCAACCATTTGGGCAAAGAATTAATAATGCACGTATGCAAGGTCCTGAATATCCAGGGCTAGAATTTTTTTTGGTCGCTTCAAAGAAAAGTAAAATCACCATAAAAAAAAAGAGGGAAGTAAACACTTATTTGTATTAAATAGAGAGAATGCCTACAGCTTTGACCTTTGATCACATAACTTACCAAATATTAAAATTACATGAAGACCATACCTTGGCAATCGCCAATATCCTGGTGCAAAGCGCGGCTTGTAGCTTGTTCAGATGCATTTCAGGGTTGCATTGAGCTAATGACGCAACAAGCTTAGATAAACAAGTATACGATGTCACAAGGCTACCCTTTGATGTCATTATATTGACGACGCAGCATAGGCAAGGCCACGTGCAGGGCCATCTTCAGAAATTTGCAGCCTGTTCATTTCGTCGTAAATGATCGTGGATTATTTACTGCTGGCTGGTTTGGTGTGAGAGAAAAATAATGTTCCAACTTATAATCAACGATCGTATCACGAGCAAGCGACCAGACTGTTGGGGCTCCAGAGCGAAATATAATTTGGGCCCCTAAAGTTTATAGAATTTGTATGACCAATAAAATTAAGATACACTTTCAAGTACAATTATCTCCAATTCAGTGAGTCTTTCTTGTGTCGTAGTAAACCGCAACTTGGATTTCAACAATTTCAGCTTAGAAAAGCTTAAATTGGGACAATAAAGTGTACAAAATTTGTATGACTAATAAAATTAGAGTCTGTCTACCCAACAACCATGTGTTTTATGTAGTTTCAACATATGATTTTTTTGCACCATAGAATTAAGATCCAACAGCCTCCATCCTCCTTCTACCTCCAGCCTTCTTCTACCTCCAGACAATCACAAATCACAAGATCATAGATCCACAGATCACAAGAAACATTTTTTTCTATGCAAGGACAAAAGGACAAATCGATAAAACACGTGTCACGCGCCGCATTTGCTCTTGCTGGGCCGCGTACGTACGGGCCCCGGCGCTTTGCCGCCACCGCCAGCCCGGTCGAGGGTGACCGATCACACACGCCTCTCGCTGGATTTTCACCTGGGCTGCCGCCTGCCGACACGGTTCAGTGGGGGACGGGGCGTGACAAAAGAGAGAGGGAGAGAGGGACAAAAAAATCCATGTGTTTTTTGTGCTAAAACACATGTGTATTGTATAGCATTTCTCTAAAATTAAGGCACTTTCAAGTACAATTATCTCCAACTCATTGAGTCTTGCTTGTGTCATAGTAAACCACAACTTGGATTTGAACAACTTCAGCTTAGAAAAGCTACTTTGCCTGAAAATTTTGTATGCAATAGTAAAATTAGGATAAGGGGCCATACTTGTTAACTTCATAATATCTAGGGGACCTATAGAATCCTTAAGTAAATTCTAAATGAAAATTAACTACCTACACAAATCTTGTCCATTTGTACCTTTGTATTTGTATAGTGTCAGTACTTTGATATGGTTAGAGAAGAATAGATCTTCTTGTCCAGGACAGGATGCCAAGCTCGGAATAGGGACTCGATCGGTGCTTCACTGCTTCTGCACTTCTACGGCTGTGCAACGTTAGTCGTTAGGTGTCAGGGAGGTGTAGTTGCGTAGATAGACACTTCGAAAATCCACAGCCTAGCGATCCAACATATGAAAATCCACCGGTGGCCGAGTGGGCACTCAGAGGGCCCAAAGTGACAAGCACCTACGCGGCTAGACATGCATGTCGTCGACTAGGAGTATGCGATTTGCCAAGTTAATGATCTCTCAGGACGAAGCACTCGCACGATTGTGACTTTGAGGCTGGCTAAAAAAGATGCCACTTGGGAGCCCACAAATTTAGGGGGCCTGTTCGATCGATCACCTCACACGCCTGTCGACGTCCCTGGCCACATTTGATTACTAGTCTTCTATATCTATATACAACTAAAAAGTATCAAATTAGTCGGCAACATTAATGTGTGATGATATTACTAGTCTTCTATATATATAGATATATACAACTAAAAAGCACTAAATTAGACTGCAACCTTGTGGAGGCGGGGAAGAGTTCTCCAATGTATTAATCTACCACTTGCAAGCCCACAGGCTACCTAGATTAGGACCTAGGTTAAAAGGCTAACACCTATTGTCATCCCAAAATACATACAACCACCACAACTCTAGTCCTCGTCACCCGAGTCAACAGGGTGCTCGTTGTCCAAGTCGGACTCGGTTTGGTCATCCACTGGCTCGATCTCCTCGTCCGGCTCTACCTCTTCAGGCTCAACCTACTCCTCTGGCTCGTCAAGCTCCATCATCTCTTCCCAGCCATCATCCATGTTGTCCTCCTCGGTTTCGATCTCCTCGTCATCATCCTTCGCTTGCTATGCTAAAAGTTACAGTGCATTGATCTGAAGCTAGAGGTTGGCAATCATGTTGTTAGCATTGTCAATATCTCCTGCAGAAGGTCATGCTCAACGATCTCAAATGCCTGTGTAGCCTGAGTGGTCTCAGCTATAGCCTCTCCACTCTCCTATTGGCCTCACATAGTTATTCGACATATTGATCTATCCATTTGCAAAACCTTATTGTAGGAGGCACAAGCCCCCTCCCTCTCTACTCTTTCGCTAGCTTCAATGGTTGTTTTTAGCTAGATTAGATTCTTACTTATATAGGAGTACAAATTAATCACATGCCACTCTTAGGTATGGTACGACCATCACGATGGCTGATGTCATTAAGAAGATCCTTGACGTCGGTCTAGCCATCAAGGAGGCCGTTAAGGCTACCGGACCAACGAGAGAGAGCAAGGGTATCGAGAAGGTCTGCGGGTTGGTGCACACGCTGACAGTGAGCGCAGAGCCAATGATCCGTCACCCAGTGGTTGCAGGGACGCTCGATTCTGTGTTGGATAGCTTGAAGGATGCTCTAGTGCTCGTGAATCGCTGTGGGAAGAAGAATTGTTGTGGGAAGAAGCGCTATTCTTTAGGTCATCATGGCGAAGTCCGAATCGCTGTGGGAAGAACGCTATTCTTTGGGTCATCACGGCGAAGTCCACCGCCAAGAAACTGGCTAGGGTGCAGAATGACATACTGCAGAAGATCTCGCTTGGAACCCTAGCGGTCACCGTGGTTACAGCCGTCAACCTCAGCAGGCCCAGGTACATAATTAACAGACACGTATATTATTTATATTATTATATAAAAAACTATCTATTCTTAATTACTGTATATATATGTAGAGCGAGTGTAATAACAGACCCGTATATGTGTGGTTTCAGCCTAAATGGTGAATTAAACAAAAAATCTTTTAAATGGCTGGAGTAGTAAAAAATAGTTGAGTAAAATGCATAATTAGTACATAAACTTGGCACTTGGGTGCGCTTAGGTACATTATCTATCTAAATGTACATATGAATTCAATAACTTGGCGGCTGGGTGCACAGCTGCTCATGAACGTGCATGAGAGGTGTGGTAGGCTATGGTAATTATCAGATAGCCCCTTAGTCCTTAATTTCCTCATTATTTAATCCTCCCAACTTTTGCACAAATAATAGACGTAGAGGGTTTTGGCAGAGGAGAACGACAAACTCTTACAGCAACCGCATGGCCGCCAACGAGCGATCAGACATATCCCTAGAGCAATGGGTCCAAGGCGATGGGAACTTGGTGATCAGACTCCAGATTATAGTGAGTACCAATCTGTACCCGCTTTAGGAGATTTCTTTTAGTGTTCATGATCAAGAGAGATTAGATTGGTTTAGCGGTTGTGTTTTTTTTCACGACTTATTTTAGAGCTTGTGTATGAGGCCAATTTTGCAGGTCCAATACTGAACATGTTTGTCGGTGTTTTTACTCGGCAGATATTTGGTTCTTGGGGAACCTCGCTTGGTGCGAAGAACAATCACAAATGGAGACAAGATTTATACTGGTTCGGGCCTCCGAAGCGAGTAAAAGCCTTACGTTCAGTTGCTACTCTTGCATTGCTTGTATTCGGCGAGATTGTTGTTACAATGTAACTATGCCTATGAAAGAGTCGATGATTTCAACAAGGGATATTGCTAGCTATTTATATCCGGGGTCAACTTGCCCTACAAGCTAAGGATTCATGCCCTAGTCGAAATCCTAGCGCCCCATCCGGAGATATCCTTTCTTGAATATGGTCGTCATGGACCTTCGAGTCGTATCTGATCCGGAGTCCGTAGTCGGCAATGTGGAAGTCAGGGTACCCGGGGGGTATGGCATCGACATAAGCCCCCAAGCTTGTCTATCAAACGCAACTCGGTCGTCTACAAGTAGTCGAGATAGTCTTAGTCGGGTGGTTTGTAGTTCGGGTACCAAGAGGTAGCCCGGATTACCAATAGCGACTTAACTCTCGATCCCGTGCAAGCCGATAAAGGTGCGTTGTTTGGGAGATGATCTTGTTCCAGTGCCATCCCCAAGTCTTCTTGTCTTTAATCTCGTTTCACACGCAAGCCAATGGGCGCGCAGTCGTCTACTAGTCAAGTCTTTGTGTTGACTCGGTTTCCCATGAGTGTGCGTGGTGGAGATTTAATTCCTTTTTCATTAGGACGGCGGTTGAGTTTCCTAGGAAGGTGGCTTGGTCCTATTTAATCAGGCCCGCTCGTGATGAATCTACAACCTCCTTTCTCCAATCTTGTTGATGAATCTGCAACCTCCTTTCTCCAATCTTGTTGGCAAGGCAAAATGAGGAAGAAACCGCTCGGCCGTGCTTCCCATGCCTCTAGCCCTAGCGATCCTAGGAGGGATG